ATGTTATAATCATATGCTCATGCTTATCATAGTATCAAACTTCCACTTACAACTCAATAATCATCAATGCCAACATGTTTGCAAATTCATGTCATCAAATTCATCTCAATCAATAACATACAATTTATAACTACAAATAATAATTATCTACAAGAATTTAATTTTCGATTACCTCCACCCTCAGTGATTACCACCCCAAGAGTATACTTTGGATTCTGAGTGAGCTTCCTAACATGTACAACAATTTTTAAAGTAATCAATGTATAATTAATAATTAACTAATAACATTAATGGCTAATTGTTATTAATTAACCCTAATCACAGTTAAGGCCTTAAACCTCCATTAAGTGTGATTAAGCAAAATTGACCCTAAAATTCACTTCCATTAACTTATGTAACCTTCATTAAACTTAATGAAACATTGTTAGCCAACTTCATTAGCTTAAACTTAGTTAATTAGCATTAGGGTTACCTTTAAACCCATCATTACTCACACTGCCTATTGCCATTAATAATAATTAAATATTAGAAGCTTAGATAACTCTCATTAAACTCTATTGAAGTCAATAAAGTAGGTAGAACTTAGCCAAAAGTTCAAACAACACCATTACAACCCTAAGAACTAGAAGAAACCGCATATGAGAGGTAGGAGAAGGGAAGTTGAAACTTACCTAGTGATTTAGTAGCCTAAAACCACCATTAAATGACATCATAAGCTTGCCTTAATAGAGCTCCAACCTCCTCTCGCTTACTCTCTCACATTTTTACCCTCTTCTATTCTATTTGAGTACAGATGACACAATTTCGGAACCCTAACTTAAGTCTATTAATTGGGCTCAAAGTGGCCTAATAACACTTAAAGCCCAAAATTAACTCCCATATAGGGTCTAATAAACCCAAGGGTAATCCAATTACTCTAGCTAATCCAATTAGATTCTAAACTAGTTATCTCAACCCTTTAATTAATTTAATTAAGCCTATATTAAATTTTAGGATATTACATTTTCAAAATATCCTTTAGTATTTTCATGAATTTTTTTTTTAGAATATGCAGAAAGCATATTCAAATATAAGGCTATTATTTGAAAAATTTTGACACCAAGATTTTTTTTTTCAGAATATGAAAAAAAGCATATAAGAATATAAGATTATTCCATGTGAGATTTTAACACAGATTATTTTTCAGAATATACAAAAAGCATATTCGAATATAAGATACATTCCATATAAAATGTTGACACTAAGACTTGTATTATAGAACATGCAAAAACCATATTCGAATATATAGAGGAAAATTGCATCCTGTTGAAGATGAGTCACATCTCATTGAAGAAACATTACATATGCTTTCAAGTATTCATAAGAAATATTCAAATATGCATAAGTGACATCTGAATATATGAAAGAAAATTACATTACGTTGAAGATCAGTCACATATCATGAAAGAAAAATTGCATATGTTTCTAAAGTAGTGTTTGGTTGGAGGGAGAGGAGAGGGGCTTTGTCCCATCCAAACAAAGAGAGGGAAGCTCATCTTCCCTTATTTGGTAAGGTGGAGGGGAAAAATTTTTCCTCCCCTCCCCTCTAAACCCTCCCCCCTAAATTAAGGGGATTTCCCCTTTCCCTCCTCTCTAACCAAAGAAAGCCTAAAGATATCCATAAGGGATATCCAAATATGCATAAATGATATTTAAATATATGAAAGAAAATTACATTTCCTTAAAGATCAATCACATATCATGGAAGAAACATCACATATGCTTCATTGAAGATGATTTGCCTATCGTGGAAGAAACCTTGTATGTGACATATTGACACCGAATAACCTTGTACTTCAAGGCTTAATAAATTGCGATCGAAGGATCTTGTTTGACATATTAATACTAAAAGACCTTGCGTTATATATTGACATGAAACTATTGATAGTGAAATATCTCATGAGATGTTGACAGCGAAGGACCTTCTGCAACATATTGGTAGTGAATGACTTTGCTCAATTTTTGTTTTTTTATCATTTAGGACATTTATGTCATTTAGCCTAAAGTAATTATTGATAATGAAGGACCTCATTTTAGAAACATTCCTAGGGCCTTATAAGTAATTAAATTTGTAGTCAAGTTTTTTTTTAGCAATTGTGCTTAAAAAATTAAGGTACCCATTTTAAGTCTTTTTTCATGATTCAAGAGATTTGACATTGAAATTGAATTTAGGAAATCTATAAAGTGCAAGTCATCAAGTGAATACATGTCCTCATTATCTTTTAGACTTTCACAACACTATCGGATTTTAAGTTTACAACTTCCTCTCTAGGGAACAGGGACAATATGTGCCTATATACTCTTTTAACTATAGCCAATGTAAGCTAATAATAGAGCCATATGTCTAAAATATGAAGAATTATGTATGTTGTTAAGAAAATCAGGGAAATTTGAATCAACAATGAATTTTATTGGGTTATCTGAATCATTTAGTAACAAATCAACTATAATCTTAGTGTCCATAAATCCTTTATTAACTTCAGTACCAGTCTCATCACCAATTGAGATAATTTGTCAACAAAATCTTGAAAAACATTGATAGATGCTTCAATATTTATTGCTAGAAGTCTCATGTTTCTTGTTTATGTAAGAAGTTGGCAATTATCTCAAATGCATGAAGAGTTAATGGTGGCAAAAACAATATCTTCTCCCGATCCATCTAAAATAACACAAAGGATTTTCATGAAGTTTCCACCAAGCATAACTTTTCCTCCTAAGGGAAAATGGCTAGATTATGAATTGCTTAACTTTAAAATATCCTTTAAAAGCTTGTCAAGAGCTCTAAAACAAATCTTACACATTATTGGAACCTTATCCTATAACAATAACTTTAATTTAGTGATTAATAACTTTCATTTATATATTGATAATACAGTTGGTCGTAATTTTAATTTGGTCATGCAAATGTGCAATAACGACCATGCTATTATTATCAATTAATTAATTAAGTAATATAAATAATCAAATAATCAACCGTGCACGAATGTATAGAAAGAAAGCAAACAAATGAACTGGCAAAGCAGCAGCCATGTGGGGGTAAGCGCATTTTCGCTCCCACCCAATAATGGAAGGCCACATGAAATTTCAGTCTTGATTGAGGTAATTACGAGTTTATCCTTTTCCACGATTTATTTATTATTTATTTGCCCAGCTACTTATGGTTCCTTTTTTAAAGAGCAATGCAGCTAATCAACGCTTATATCACTGTTTAAAACGGACTCATGATAATATCAGCTAGTCAGGTAAAACAAAACTTCATTGTGACAGTTTGCTTAATCAGTACTTCATTCATTTAAAAATATAAAATATTTTTTAAAAAATTAAATATTAAAAGATATAAAATATTTTTAATTTTAAAATATAATCATTATTTTTTTAAAAAATGTCTCCATTTATAAATAACTTTATATTTATTATAAGGTGTTTAATAAGAATAAATATAGAAAGATAGGATTAGTTTGAAAGTAAGTAACTACTTTATTGAAGGGTAAAATTTAATTAAAAATATCTTATATTTTTAAATGAAGAGAGTAAAACCTTGCACTCTGCTCATGATATATTTCCAGTTTATTGTGGGCAGAAATTTTGTTAAAGGCAATTGCGTGTGTTAAATATTGATAACCTCACAATTTTATCAATATTTTTTTCGTAAAATTTACTATATTGTTTAATAACCACCTGAAGAATAATTTTACATGTTATCATTCTAATAATTTTTTTAAGAATAACAAGATATTGTACCTGCTTCTTTATAAAATTAGTTAGTTTGTCAGTACTAAAAATTCGAATATCGTATTTTTATTGAAATGTGCTAACACGAATTTAAGTTTGTTTAGACAATTTTTGGAATAAGCTATCAAGTCCACATCTTTTCCTATTGAACCTTCTATTCAAAATATGAGTCTTTTTAGAATCTTTTTCATTTTATAATTTAAAATATCACTTATTGACATTTTTTTATTATACCCTTATTTACTCCAACAATTTTAAACAATAGTTATTAAATTTTAGGGACAAATTTGGCAGCATGACCAATATTCTTGTGTATTAATTACATTGCTTAATTTGTGTACATTTTTAAAAGACAAATATTTTCAAATGGAGGAGTAAAAATTAACATGATAATATTAATATCGCAGCATGACTTAGAGAATTTTAATTTAGCGAATTTTGTAAAGTAAATGTTCAAAACATGATGAAGAAAGATGCTACCCCTTTAGATCCTTTCTATAAAACAAATTTATTTTACATAAATTTAAAAATTTAGTTGATGCGTTTAAACTTACTTTTTTATTTTTTTATAAGAAAAATTACTTTTTCTATAATTGCTCTTTGCTAAATATTCTGTTCTCTTTCCCACGCATCCTCTGATTGTCTCTCAATTACTCTATGTATTGCTAAATTGCTATTTTATTGATTTTCTAGATTATTTATAAAACATTTTTATCAAAAATTCTTTTATAAAAACAAATGAGATAATAAAATAATAAAAAAAATTTTAAATCCTTACACTTTACTCACATTTTATTATAAGTTCTTACACTTTATTTTAATATTTTAAATCTCTATATTTTTATTTTTTAATATTTTAAATTTATTTAAAAATATTATATTTTATTTATGAAGAGATTTAAAATATTAAAAGATAAAAATATAAAAACTTAAAACACCTAAAAATATAATAATTTGTTATAAAATGTGAATGATGTATAAAAATTTAAAATTATATTTTAAAAAAAAATGAATACATTTTGTAATATGTGAGAATTTTGGCATTGAGTGGACAATGGAGTGTTGAATGCTGGTCCCACAAAACAAAAAAAAAAACAAAAACAAAAAAGTGTGCTGAATAATTTAACCATGGTTATTAAAAAAAAAAAAAAATGCAACAGTTGTTAACCCTCTTAGCTGCAGAGGTCAACAACTAGATGTCTTATTGTCTAATCAGTGATACTTACAGAGAGAGAGAGAGAGACAGAGAGAGACAGAGAGGGTGCCTAGAGAGAGAGACAGGTTAAAAGGGTCATTGTGAAGGAGCAAGAGACGAGAGGAAAGGGGAGCCAAATGTCTGAACATTGTAGGGAAAAATAGGGGCAAAGCTGCAGCATTTGGTCTCTGAGAAACTTGGCAAGCCTTCTTTTGTGTTGCTTTCCTTGTCGACTCCTGTCCCGCCGACCCACTTTCTCCCTTCTCTAGTTTTCCGGCCAACTCGCCGGCCGGAGCTTAGACGTCCATTCGTTGACTTCCTAATTGGTCATATTACGATAGATTCCCTTTCTATCTGTTCCCTTTTGTTCTTCCTCTCCGTTAAAAGATTCCCAAGCTTTTTGATGTTCCTTTCCTTGATAAATATTATCTTTTCCGTTTTGCTGATCTGACCAAAAGCTGCACATTCCTGCTTACGTATTCTACCTCAAACAGAGCTTTTAAAATCTGGATTGCTGATGGTTGAGCTCTTTGGTCGATAATTTGTTGGATATCTGATTAATCATCGAAGATATGTATTGTTGACACTCTTGACAACTACAGCAGCATATTTCCTAAGAGAGACAAAACAATGAAGATGCAGCCAGACGGTACTGGAGCTGGGGCTGCCTCCGCCGCTGCTGCGCCGAACCCTTGCGAAGGTGAGGACTTTCTCTATTTCCGCTTCTTCTATTTTTTTTTTTTAAATTCGTTTTGGAAATTTTGGTGCAAAAGAAATATTGGTAAATACGAGTGTTGAACATGGGGCGCAGGGGCAGAGAAGAAGAGCATAAATCCAGAGCTTTGGCAAGCTTGTGCGGGGCCGCTGGTGAACCTGCCGCCATCAGGTACTCACGTGGTGTACTTCCCTCAAGGTCACAGTGAACAGGTCAGTTTAATTTTTGTCTGTTGATCTAATCAGCTTCCCTACTTTGTTCCCTCGTGTGCCTGTTTCCTAAATTCTTTCTGCCTTTGGCGTTTTAATTTGTATTTCATAAATTATAACTATGCCCATTGTTCTTGCGCCAGTAATTCATGTATATGCTGATACTAGTTGTTTTGCCGTTCCGTACTCCTTTAGGAGATGCTTCTGTTGTTTACTTTGTTCTAACCAAAACAGTTGATTATGATCCTATATTCAAAGAGAGAGTGAAAGTATTTTGATTCATGAATTCCTTTTAGGTTTGAGGTGGTTCTAAAGCCTAGCGTTCAGTTTGTACGGCCACATAATTGTTATATGGTGCAAGAAACAGTGTGAAAATATATATAATAATTTTAGTGTCCTTTCCTTTTTAGGATGTGCATGCCACTTGAAATGAGTCGTTTCTTCTTGTTTCAGGTTGCAGCATCTTTAAAGAAGGATGTGGATGGTCAGATTCCAAACTATCCAAATCTCCCTTCCAAGTTACTCTGTCTCCTTCTCAGTGTCACCTTGCATGTATGGGGATGTTTCCAGTCGTTATAATCTACACCAAAAACGTATTCTGACTTTCTGTTTCATTTTTTTAAAACAACTAATTAATGGCTGTCTTTACAGGCTGACCCAGAAACTGATGAAGTATATGCTCAGATGACACTTCAACCAGTGCCTTCTGTAAGTGCTATTCATAGTGACCAAATTTTATACTCTTAAGCCACTTTGTGACTTTGATATGCCAAATATAAATGCAAAGCCAGAAAAGTATTTTAATTTATATAAAATAAATGGAATCCTTCTTGTTTCAAAGTCTCCAAACCCACCGACCTTACTATACTATTCATGCAGTTTGACAAGGACGCATTGTTAAGATCTGATCTTGCTCTCAAATCAAGTAAACCACAGCCTGAGTTCTTCTGTAAACAATTGACGGCGAGTGATACGAGTACACATGGAGGTTTTTCTGTCCCACGCCGTGCAGCAGAGAAGATTTTCCCTGCTCTTGTAGGCTTCAATTTATTCCTCAAGCATTGGACCGGAATTTCATGTTTTGATATATTTCTGATTTCTTTTTAGGATTATACTATGCAACCACCTGCACAAGAACTTGTGGCAAGGGATTTGCATGACAATGTCTGGACATTTCGCCATATATATCGAGGTATGATTTTGGCACAGCCATATCTAATTTTAAGCATAAAATATTGTATTATCAGACATTTTCAGTAATTAGCTGACTTTTTCTGTGCTATCAAATTTGCTGGCTTTTTCTGTAACTAGGACAACCAAAGCGACACTTACTTACAACAGGATGGAGTCTATTTGTCAGTGGAAAGAGGCTATTTGCTGGAGACTCTGTTTTGTTTATAAGGTAAGACTAAGTGTAGTAGTTTGATCCTTTTTATCATTTCATTTTGGAGTATTGATTTGAAATACTCTCTTAAAATATTTGATTAATCAGACATCTAAACCTTTTTGTGACTTTCTCTTCGCAGAGATGAAAAGCAGCAGCTTCTTCTTGGTATCAGGCGAGCTCACAGACAACCCACAAATCTATCATCTTCAGTGCTATCAAGTGATAGTATGCATATTGGAATTCTGGCAGCAGCAGCTCATGCTGCTGCAAACAACAGCCCCTTCACTGTGTTTTATAACCCTAGGTTATCATCTTTTTCATTTCGTTTATCTTAAAAACTGAGAAGTTTAATAGATATCCTTTGGTTAGTTTACTGTTCATCTACTCAATCAGATTGCAAAATATATTAATAGCTACTCCTTCAAATGAACTGGCGTTCTGTGTTCCCAAAATTTGAGACTTGAATCTTCTTTGGTGTGCAGGGCTAGCCCGTCAGAATTTGTTATTCCTTTGGCGAAGTACTACAAGGCAGTGTATAGCCACCAAATATCTCCTGGCATGCGCTTCCGAATGATGTTTGAAACTGAAGACTCAGGAACAAGAAGGTGCCTTTTGAGTTTTCATATCAAGAAGTGAAATGTATAGAGTAATAAATAAGAGGCTAAAGCATACATTAGTCTTTTAACTTTACACAACGTTTCATTTTAGTCTCTTAACTTTATAAAGTATGTTTTTAGTCCTCTAACTTTAACATTGTTAGTTTTGTTCCAACAAATTTTTACATTGAATTTTCAAATATTAACAGAACATTTTCAAATGTTGACATATTAAGTTTAATTTTTTTAAAATAATAATGATTGACACAAAAAATAATTATTTGAAATTAACAATGTTAAGGTTAAATGATTAAAAAGATTCTTTACAAAATTAAAGAACCAAATTGAAATCTTATATCAAGTTAGAGTACTAAAAGTATACTTTAGTCTAAATAATAAATGCTGTTTCCCATGATGCTAGTGATGACATGGTTGGTTGCATGATTATAATTTGGAAACTTGGAAGTTGTAAATACTTCATCTTGCAAGTTTACTTCTACCTGATTCTTTTTTTATTTTTATTTTTCCCGTATGATTAGAAATATCATTTTAGATTCCTTGGGTATGTATGTGGCTGGGAATAAATAGTACACCTGAAAGTACTTTTATGACAAATATTGCATTCAATTGTATTTCAGGTATATGGGTACAATTACAGGAATCTGTGATCTGGATCCTGCAAGATGGAAAAACTCACAATGGCGCAATTTGCAGGTATTATTTATTGTATTTTTGGCCTTTGAGAAAAAGATTTTACCATCAATTGGTAGATGATCCTGATTACTCGATTTTCATTATGTATGTGTTTATGTTTAGCACATTCTTTGGTTTCTAACGTGCATTTTTATTGTCAGGTCGGTTGGGATGAATCAACTGCTGGAGAAAGACGAAGTAGGGTTTCAATATGGGAAATTGAACCAGTGACAGCTCCATTTTTCATCTGTCCACCTCCGTTCTTCCGGTCTAAGCGTCCAAGACAACCAGGAATGCCTGGTAAATAATGACTAATGCTAAAATATACAAATTAGATCAAAATAACTTAGGGAAGATTTTTCCTCCAAAAATCCTTTCTTTTCCTAAAAAAATTCCTGGGCTTCATGTTCCCTGACAAACTGTTCTATTGGTTAAGTTTTTTGAATCAAGTCAAACATATCTTCAGTATGATGATTGGAAATTTATAGTTTCTGTTGATGATCTGTGCAGATGATGATCTTTCTGATTTTGATAACCTTTTTAAGCGGATGATGCCTTGGCCTGGTGATGATATATGCATGAAGGATCCTCAGTCACTCCCTGGCCTCAGCTTAGTTCAATGGATGAATATGCAGCAAAATCCTGCTCTGTCTAGCTCATTGCAGCCAAATTACGTGCAGTCCTTGTCTGGTTCTGCTCTGCAAAATCTTCCTAGTGCAGATATTGCCCGTCAGCTGGGATTTTGTGCTCCACAGATCTCTCAGTCAAGCAATGCAGCTTTCAGTCCTCAGAGGTTACTTCAAACCCCACAACAAGTTGATCATCTTCAGAAGATGCCATCTGTGTCTAGCCCATTAGGAACGGTCATGCAGCCACTACAAGTAGGTGATATCACTCAGCAACCTAGACAGAATTTAGGAAATCAAACTCTACCACAGAGTCAAGTTCAGAACCAACTTCTGCATGCTCAAAATATTGTTCAACCTACCAATATACTTCAACAGCAGCAACCATCCATCCAAAACCATCAGCTGCATAGGAACCTCTCCCAGAACCTGTCACAGCCTCAGCAGCAACAGACATTTATGGGTCAGAATCAACAGCAAAATTTTATACAGTCCTCCATGCCTGATCATGTCAATCAACAGATGCAGATGTCTGACAATCAGATTCAGCTTCAATTATTGCAGAAGCTTCAACAGCAACAGCAAACAATCTTGGCGCAGCAGTCCATAATGCAGCAGCCTACTCAACTTAGTCAAATCCAAGACCAGCAGAGGCAACTTTTAGATCCAACTCAGAACTTCTCAAGGGCCCTAACGTCAAGTCAAGTGTTAGAAATTCCTGCCATACTTCAAAACTCACTTCCTGATGGTAACTCTATTCCACATCAGATGACGAAGAATAATGGCCAGACCAGTGTTCAGTTCTCTCATCCATCCCGGCAGACAAAGCTTCAACAACAGCTATCTGGCACACTGTCCGAGATGTCTGAGCATGTGGGATTCCTCCCTGCTCCTACTGCCAACAAACTCTCTGTGGCTGGTGGTAATATATTAACTGGAACAGCTGGAGCAGGGCAGTCTGTAATTACTGATGACATTCCATCTTGTTCCACTTCACCTTCCACTAATAACTGTGCCAATGCACTTCCACATGTGAATTCCCGGATCCATAGGAACACAGCGATAGGGGATGATATGGCTCAATCTGCAGCCACGATCTTAAGTCCTAGTGCCTTAGAGGCCATGTCTTCAAATGCAAGCTTGGTGAAAGATTTTCACCCAAAATCTGAAGTCAAGCCTTCTTTAAATATTTGCAAAAGTCAAAATCAAGGGAATTTTTCCACTCATGCGTACTTAAATGGTGGAGCTGCACAGACAGATTATTTGGATACATCATCTTCTACAACTTCAGTTAGCCTTTCTCGAAATGACACTTGTATGCATCAGAATAACAATCCATTATCTTACAATCCGCAGTCAATGCTGTTTAGAGACAATAATCAAGATGGGGAAATTCAGCTAGATGCTAGGAGCAATGTTCCTTATGGCAATAATATTGATGGTCAATTGGGAATGCCGCTGAATCCAGATTCTCTTTTGATCAAAGGCACAATAGGGCTGGGAAAGGATATGTCAAATAACTTTTCTTCAGGAGGCATGCCTGGTAACTATGAGGATAACAGAGGTGCTCAGCAAGAACTCTCTTCATCAATTGTTTCACAGACATTTGGGGTCCCTGATATGACCTTTAATTCAATTGATCCCACAATAAATGATAGTAGCTTCTTAAATAGGGGTACATGGGCCCCACCTCCTCCCCCACCACAGTTTCAGCGGATGAGAACGTATACCAAGGTTTATTATCACTATTACCATTATTATTTTTCCCAGCGAATCATGCCTCAGATGGTGGATAAGTTTTCTTTTGTTTGTTTTGAATTATTGTTCCAAGCAATTCCTTGTACATATAGGTATACAAACGTGGAGCTGTTGGTAGGTCCATAGACATAACCCGGTATTCAGGTTATGAGGAGCTTAAACAAGACTTGGCTCGTAGATTTGGCATAGAGGGACAGTTGGAGGACTGGCAAAGAATAGGCTGGAAACTTGTTTATGTGGATCATGAAAATGATGTTTTGCTAGTGGGAGATGACCCTTGGGAGTAAGTTCTACCATTCTTCTACTCGGATTTGTCTGCATGCATTTGTGCGTGTTGCTTGTTCATCATCCATTGATAGTCTCCCAACATCTAATTTTTGTTTTGTTCTTTGCATGTAGAGGAAAAGATGGCCATGTTCTTTTGATTTGTGTTGTTTCTTAAGCAGATAATTGAGACGGCCTTGTCTTTTAGGGGGTCAAGTTGAAACGTAATAATGAATACATAATTGAAAAAGGTAATTGTGCATTTAGAGAATGCTTGGTATTGGTCTGACGATCCCAGTCTTGCCTGCGTTTTGAGCACATGGATTCTTAATTTTTGCAAAGAAGGAATCTTCATTTCCTTGTGGAATGGTTGGACTAGCTATTCCTGAAAGTTGGTAATAACTTGATGACTGCTGTATACCTATTCGGCTATTCCCCATCTGTTAATTAACTGGTAAACCTGAATATGGAACAGAGTGCAGTATAATGCAATTCCGTGGCTGGGTAAAGCAAACATTGGAACAGGAATAGTCATGCAATTATGTCTGGCCATTATGTTTAATTTAATCAATTTGCAAAACCACGGTGATTTATGATGGTAATATTTTAACATCTTTACTATTTTGGGTATTTCAGGGAGTTTGTGAACTGTGTCCGCTGCATCAAAATACTTTCTCCTCAAGAGGTGCAACAGATGAGTTTGGATGGAGATTTTGGCAATGGTGGCCTTCCAAATCAGGCCTGTAGCAGCTCTGATGGTGGAAATACCTAAAGGAGTCCAAACATCTGCTAACTATTCTTCCATGTTGGTAACCCGTATTGTTTCTATTTGGTGGGTTTCTGTGGACTTTTTTATCCTGCTGCAGATCTTAAAAACAATCTTTTGCAGTTGGCTCAGTGGACTACGGGCAAATTTGTAGAGCCGTAAGAAGTGGAGTATCTGTTGCTACTTGCTGCCGGTGCGCCAACTGTGGTAATGAATTAAGTATGGAGAGCGCCCTGACAAAGCAATTCAGTTAACTGTTTGAAGCTATGGATTTGAGATGCAGTAGTAAGATTGGCGAAACTGTTCTCAATGCATATAGAATCTCTCTAGTTCAGCGTAGCTTAGAAAGCCAGGTTAAATTATGGCGGCATAGTTAAGGTGTATAAAATTGATTCCTCCCCATATATAGAAGAGAAGGATGGCTTTTTGCATGGGCCTTTGTAATCGTATTCAGTCATGGTCCGTTTATTTCAACTTCAGATTGGCCAAGGAATGGGAATGATGACGTAGGTTGGTTTGTATCAAGGGTGTTCAATGTGAATCCGTTTTGATTAGCCCATTTTTGTCCAGTCATATTGGGATGGGTTGTCCTGACCTGAAAAAACAATCAAGACGGGATATGAGATTACCCTCAGAATGTTCCGTCTCGTCCCAAATATTATATTATATATATATATATATATATATATTTTTTAAAAAATACATTAAATATATTAATTATGTTAATATAATTTATACTTATATTAATTATATTAATTATAATTTTAATATGTGCAATTTTTATTTAAAATTAAAAGTTTTTGTATTGATAATTTTTATTTAGTTTTTTGCAGCACATGGTAATATCTTTTTTTTAAAATATATTAATTATATTAATATAATTTATTTTTACATCAATCTATTTAATAATTTTTATTTATATTATATTTTTTGTTTTATTTTCAGAAGAGTAACTAGTTTAACATATTTTTACTAAAGAAGAATAACTTGATGTTGTGCCTTTCTTATTTTCTTTTGTTGTTTTTAGAGTTTAAAGATCAATTGTAATTATTATCATAATGTGTTACTAACTTATAGTTGTGATTGATGTAATTTAATAATTAATTTTAAATTGTGATGATTTATAGACTCATGTTTTGGTTTTAAATTTTATAAATTATATGGTTTAAAATTTTAATGAATTTATTGTTCGAGTCTTTCTCACATTGTCCAATTTATTAAGGCAGCAAAACATTTTGATCTTGTCTTAGTTTCGTCTTGGTTCTTAATTGAGTCCTAATTTTTTTTTAGGATGAACATGAGATAATTGTGTTCCGATTCAGTTGTGTCCCATGAGCACTTATCCTGTATTCCATGCTGTCCTGTGAACACATGGTTGGCAAAAGTGTTAAAGTTCCTTGCTCTCTTGGAAGTGATGATTCACACAAGCCTGGCAATCGTGATTCATCTAAAAAATGAGATGAATGCTGATTCCTGGACCCAAGAATTATCATTGGCACTGAAAAATCCTTCCTTTAAACTCATTGGCCCCTGCACCTCGACCTTCTCACCTCTGGAACTCTTCTCATGTGGCTTCCACCAAATTTTTAAGCCAAAATCATCCTCGCTATCCAATCTTCTGTGATTTCTTTGTGACATTGATTCGTGTTCCTCTTCCCTGGGCAACCTTGTGCTTGATAGGTTCCTCTTAAATCTCTTTGCTACTTTGTTGATCACTGCTCTGTTTTGGTTAGGAAATGGCGGCGGAGATGCTTTCCCGGGACTCTTCGCTAATTCATTCGAGCGAGTTGAGTTAGTTGATCGATGATTCCTTTCCCCGGGCCAATTCTTGGCATTCGTTCTCTTGCATTCTGGTTCGTATGATGGTTTGTTGATGTATTTTTGTAGATCTAGTCAACGGTGGTTTGAATTTCAATGTAGAGCAGGGTATATAGGGAGTTTTTATTTTATTTTATTAAGGGGCATCTTCATCCTTTTCATCATTTTTATTTATAATATAATAGAAAAAAATAATTTTATTCAAAACATTTTTAATATCGGATCATACAAATTAAAAATGATGATTGCATTCCATTCCTGTATTTTACGAGTCTTTTGGCATGAAAAAAGGACTTTTTAGTGGAAACCCCCCGACATTTAACTTCGAATTAACAAGATTTTAAGAAAAGAGAGGTTAAAAACATTCTTAAAATGTGGCAATAAACTCTTGCGCTTTGTGGATTAAGAAAAGAAGTAAAACCATATTGATACTTGGAATTATAGAATGTTGAACTGGAATGCGGAGTTATGCTGTCCATGGAGCATAATTACTGCCATTCACTAGTTCCCTAGCAACAACCAGCTATCTGAACCACCGCAGTCCCTCTCTCAGCCTTAATTAAGCTAAATAACTAGAAGCTTGGATGACATTGAACGTCAGAATCCATCATAGTTTCTTGCACATCCATGAAATTTGGAACATCTCTTCTTGATTTCTTCGAAGTTACAGTAACATCAAAGATGGCTAAAAGTGGCTGCCCGTTGCTCTATTGTCGTGCTGTGGTCAATCCAGTTTCGTTGTCTTAACTTGTCTCCCAGTGCTGGCCTTTAAACACATTCGTCAGTACTCATCAGCAATTTACCAAATTGCCATACAATCATATTCTCCCCAACGGGGATGTGCTTGAGCGGCTTTCATATACGGAGATTCCAGAAATTGACTGGGAATCATTCAAAACATCCTAGAAGAGAGAAAGTTCAAAGTCGGAAAGTTTCTTGAGGTTTTTGTGGTGTACGAATTATCTAATGATCAGAAAAATGAACAAGTGTGATTAGAGACGTACTTGAACCTTGGAGGTTGTGGAGCTGTTTCTGTTATTGGAGGCGAATCCTGTACTGCGTCCAAACATGACCATCATCGGCATGTTATCCTCGGCAAAGTCCCTCAATATATTGAGCTGAGGTAATACGACTTTTTTAAGATCAGGTCTATCTTTCCTCCTCATTTCCGCACACTGCAGAGCAAGCTTGGCAAACTGTAGGGCCTCCTCTACTGGCCAGTCTTCAAGAGCTGGGTCAAGGATCTCTGTGAAAGTCCCGTTTTCTATAGCTCGCCCAACATGATGAGTCAAACCCATCGGGGGCTTCGCTGTTATCATTTGCAGGAGCATGATCCCCAGCGAGTAAATGTCAGATTTAATTCCAAGCATACCAGTTTGCTGGTACTCTGGGTCAATATAACAGAAAGTTCCAGCAGTTGATGTCATGCGGTACTGAGTTACACTGTCTGCAACTGAAGGAGGGACAAGCCTGGCCAATCCCACATCACTAATCTTGCTGACAAAGTTACGGTCAAGCAAAATGTTGGCAGGTTTTAAATCACGATGAACTAGTGGTTCTGGTCTTGTCTGATGAAGGAAAAGGAGGCCGGTGGCGATCTCTACAGCTATTCGAAATCTTAACTGCCAGGGAAGAGGTGGCAAGTGGCGTTTCCGGAAGAGGCAGTCCTCCAAACTTCCATTAGCCATGTATTCATACACAAGGCACCCATACTCTGGGCATGCTCCAAGGAGGAGAACCATGTTTGGATGACGAATGCAACTCAACACTTCAACCTGCAATGCCAAACTATATTATGAATAACAACGAGATACATATGAACGAAATCTTGACCATGCTGACTCCTAGAAAACTGGTAGATGCAATTCTCAATGATTTAGTAATCTACTTTTTCCTAAGCTGAAGATGTTGTTCTGGCCATTTTTCTTACCTCCTGCTGAAACTGTGACCTTCCTTGAGCTGCATCTGGCCTTAAAACTTTCACTGCAACTGGCGTGAGATCTAGTTCACACCTATATACAGGCCCATACCCTCCTTCCCCGATCTTGAGCGAGTCCGCAAAACATTCTGTTGCTTCTTCGATTTCCTCAATAGTATATCTTCTGTACCTGGCACTACCTTGTGAAAAAGTATCTGGTGTCTTCTTTTTCTGCTCAGATTCTTTCAGGGCTTTCATCTCTGCATTCAATCTTTTTTGTGCCTCCAGTTCCGCAATTTTCTTGGATGCTTCTGCTGCCTCAATGGCAGCTCTACACTTTGCTTTCTCCCTCTCTGCAAGTGCCAATGCTGCTTCTTCAGACATCCTTGCCTCTTCTAATTTCTTTTGCTCTTCTAATTTCCATCGTTGTAGTTCCATTGCCTGTCGGATGTAACTGTTAGTTTCTATAATTTTTGTTTCCCGAATAAAGTTCCCGATTTAATCTCTTAATTCTTTCTTTTTAATAACTATTCGGCAGGATTACGGTATTCTCGGAGCATGTAACAACTTAACTAAAATCTGTAAGCTACCTTCTGCCTTGCTGTAAGAGCTTCCTTGCAAGCTGTGCTGTACATTTCCATCGTTTGCTTCAGTTCGAGCTTCAATCTTCTCATCTCGGCTTCCATATCATCCTATTATTTCAAGAAGAGCTTCATAATTAATTCCTTTCCTGGGAGGCATGAATGAGTACATTTTTTAAGAGTACGACCGACAGAGAGCCATTGAAAATTGGACAGCTAAGGTATGAAGATCAAGTTGCAATAACCCGTTAGTATTCGGGCATGTTAATATAGTACGGTAGGTTAGTCCAACAAATTGTTCATGTTTTATCCTTGACGTTGTCCTTACCGATAGGGACAATCTTGAGGATGACCCCCCACTGTCTTGCGAGCTGAATGAAAAGTCACCCTGGGAATAGTTCATGTCAATTGACCTGGCCCCTGAGAAAGATGACTCGGAGCTTCTGCCATCAAAATCTGAGCTGTTGGAAAGTCGAGGGGCCATTCCGGGTTCGAGATCATCAAACATCGAAGGAAGCATCCTTTCGATGCTTGGCCTTCCGCTGCTCACAAATGATATATCAGAGTCAGGGATTGAGGATTCGTACGGTTTGTAGCTTGATCTGCCACCTCTTGTGAATGGTGATCTGTCCACAGATTATCCAGTTAGTCCTTTCACAAGTTCTTTAATCTATGTAAATCTCCATTTCAGCACACACTGGCATTTGTAATTTAACATTCAACAATTTCTATGAATGACATTTACTACTGCCTTTATGGATGCATAAAGATCATTTTATATGCGTGTTCTAATTTTTTTCACAATCATCGCCTTCTTAAGAGTTGATTATGCCTGATCTGGATAAATTATCCTCCGTCACTTAATGTCCGAAATAGCCTGGATATAAAGCAATGAGGCCAAGCTGTCCGCCCATTACCCCCCTTTCCCGGGCTTCCGTCAGGGTAGGCTTGACTACAGACACAAATCATAGCAATGTATGCGGGCTATTTGCATGCAAGGAACTGAAGATATGCTGGTAAGAGAAGCCGTGATACATGTCAAGTTTGTGAAACTGATCCATTTTACTAATCATCATCGAAGATTAACTAGTGCTAAGTTTCCCCTGTTATTATGAGGCATACTTCTTCCCTAGACAGGTACATTAGAACTCACTTGATGTCGTCATCACCCGGTAGGGGGCAGGCGCCATATGCTAACCGCTCTGCTGCTGTAACAGATGCAAGTAGATAAAACCTTTTATAAGCAAAAGCAATGGAATTAATAAGCCAAAGCGAGCAGGAATCGGCATGACACAGATATAGAACGTACACCGCGGCGTTGCGAGTTGGGTTTCTAGCCGCTGGGTGGACTGTTGCTGCAATGCGTTACGAGGTGTAGGTTTGGCTGGTATTGGAGCAGAAGCTGCTCGTACAGATGAGATTCTTCCTTTAGAAATGACATACACAGTGCAGAATGGCGGTGCCCCCTTTGACACAAGGCTTGGAACATCGGTTGTCCTAAATCTTCTGTCGTGAACATCAAGTTCAACAAACAGATGATGTTATAGTTGAAACCGCGATATTTTATCAATTAAGCTTACATAGCTGCTTGCTCTAGAGAGGCGGGTAGGAAAAAATCATTACCTTACAATACCACTCCTTGATGGTGCCCCAAGTACCAGAAGCTCAACTGAATGCGCAGAAACACATTCTATTAATGCTTTTGCTATGTCCGTGTCTTCCAATAAGACTTCTTTACATTGTACCTGTTGCAAATAGTACTTAGTGGGAGAGAGAAAACTGAAAAGGCTTATATTGGCCGTGTTTCTTTCCTTGAATCTATTGTTGAAAGATAACATGGAGAAAGGCGTTGCGTTGCAGCTTACGCTTTTTCTATTGCAGAAAACACGGAAAGACGCAAAAAGCTCCCTGGATTCGTGGTCGACTTGCTGCTTGTATGCTCTTGCCACGTCATCGTTCGAATCGATTGTTACAAGGCTTCCCGCTGCATTCGGAATAGGAAAAACAAGAATTGAAATTATCATGTGAACCAAAATGGCTGCATGCATGGTGGGTTTTTATTTATAAACGTATGCTGAAACACAAAAGCTTTGTTTTGTTTGCCAGAAAATTAAGCATGTATGGATTATATATATCGTGGTCAGCATTATGCTGTGGGTCTCTAAGTATGATCGCTCTTTCACCACATCTTTATTATTGCATGCATTTGAATCTATTGGCGAGCCAAAAGCACCGAGCTTAAGCGATAGAGAAAAAATATAGAATGCGAGATTGATAGATTTCCTAGTTTAAGAAAGGGAAAAAGAGAAAGACTTACTTGTTGTAGGGATGGAAGACGCCCTTGGTCTGACATGGAGTAGGAGGATACATTGATCTTTGGGAACAAGATTATCGACGGCCCATTTTGCAGCAAGCTGGCTTGTCTTGTTATTCTCAACAGCCACAGCAACCACACGTCCTGCACCCAACTTCTTCTCAGGAATTATTCTTGACATCCTCCTGGATTAAAATTGACACGAGAGAGCAGCAGCTCAAACGGTTCAAGAATATTAAAAAGATTCTCCTTAACACGCAGCCCTCTGGCTCTTGTTTTTTCTTTTACCAATGTGAAATGAGATATTCTGTCAGATGTTCTTCCACAACCTAAATAGTAGTCCGGCAAAACTTCCTTGTTCTATTTTTAGATATTTTGTTGGAACTAAACTCCTAAGTGCCATTGCGGTGGCAATTCATTTTATTACATAGCTTGCAGCTTGCCAATTCAGTTTTATTATAGCTTACAGTTTGTCATTGCTTCCATAATTAGAATTCACAAAAGATATTCTAAGAATAAACTTTCTGTGCAAAGGATTTAATCATCGAGACCTTCTTATTTTAAAAATATATACGGATCAAATTTATCAAAAGTTGTACAAGACGAAGTGGCAAACATCTCTGTTTTCTATATTCCATTTGTACATGCCTCTTCTTTAAGTTTAAAAGTTTTAGATCACTCCACTTGATTTCTTTTTGACTAAATTACCCTTCTTCAATACAAATATTTAATTAATAATATTTTTAACAAACATTTTTTTATAATATTTTTAAAAGCTAGATTATGACGTGTAAAAATTATTTGATGATTTATTATTATGTGCATATTAAAAAAATGAAATGAAATGTTTCATTGCAAAATCTATTATTCCAAAAAACTATTGTATTTTTAAGTGATTTTAAAAATTAATAACTAATTTTGAAACTATATAAGTAAAAAATGTTACATAATATCAAAAATTTTAAAAGTAAAAACTAAATAAAAATATAATTGAAATTTTTTTTTCCGAAGTGGTCAAGGTCGTAATTGACATTTGCCTTGCTGGTTTAATTTCAACATTAAAAAAAATTAAATGTTTAAATTTCTTTCAGATCAGCACCGTAGCCTTTTGGGACAAAGATTAGCATTGTAGATGTACCATGCTAAATGACGGGATTTAATAAAGATAAAGATATAGATAAAGACAAGGATACTTTCTTCTCATTGGACTTGACTCTTAATATTTTAATTTTTAAGTTATTCAGCTTTTCATATTAGACTACATAATTTTAAACTGCACATTGTCATAAAACAAAAGATTAATGTTTAATTTTATCTATATACTTATTTTTTAAAAGTATGGGCACCTTATACATTTAAGTGGGATAGTTTTACTCTTGAATTATTTTTTAAAGGAGTAAAAAATTCTTTTTGTCAATCAACCATTAATTTTTTCATTTTATACTGATATAACATGTGCATAAAGTCCACACACAATGACATATAAAACTTTGACTATGTTATTTGGTACTAATTTGCCTTTAAATTTTTTTTAGGAGTGTGGAGTACCCTAAAATTTTTTTTAGAAATACTGATCATCCTAAAATCTTGTTAAAATAAAATTTAATAAATATTATTAGAATATTAAGTATTTTAATATTTAATAATTTAAATACTATTATTTAAAACATTACACCACCCAATTTAATATTTTAATATTTTATAATTTTGTATTAAAAATAAAGGGAATGAATCTCCAAATTAATGAAGGGTTTTTATTTCCCATCTCTCCTTTTTTTTTCTTGCTAAGTAACTTTTTCATAATACATTAATGGAATAAACGATATCTTTTAAATAAACATTTTTGTTAGCATATTGTTAGTCTTGATTTGTCATGTTTTTTATTTTACTCCTAACGTTGCAATATACAAAGAGTATTAAATTTAAATAGTATAATATTTTGGAGAAAGATCGTTCGTTGACAAAAAAAATTATAGAAAATAACCTAAAAAATATAAGTAAGTTTCAATAAGCATAGAAGGTGTAACAATTTAGACATTATATCGAAGAGAAAATTGAAGATCGATATATAAAAAATAAAAAGTCATTGATAAATTTATAAAATGCCAGTTTGAGTTGTTAATATTTAAAAAGTAATTTATAAATTTTGAATAAATATTTATAAATAATAATATTTAAATTATTAAATATGAAAATATTTAATGTTTTGGCAACAATTATTAAATTTTATTTTCATAATACTTCAATGTACCCAGTGCTTCTAAAAAAGATTTTAAGATGCCTAGCACTCCTAAAAAATGAGTTTAGGAGCAAATTAGCATTAAAGGATTTGATCAGAGTTTTACCTGTCACTGTGCATGGGCCTCATGCACATGCCACATCAATAGAAAATGGTAAGTTAATGGATTCCTAACAGAAGGGCTTTTTAGGGCCTAAAAAAATAATGTCCCCAACGTTCTTAAAAAACAAGTACATAGGCAAAATTGAACCTTGACCTTGAAAGAAAACTCACCTTTTTATTGGAAAGTAAAATTTTTACTTCAACTTATTGTTATAATATCTCATAAATTTTAATCAATTTTCTCAATTTAGATTAACAGCCGTAAATCTCATAGTATGTGTCATGCTATTCATCTGTAAGGCCGAATATCATACTACAAAATTCAAATGATGAAATATAGGATAATGGTTATTTAAGAAAAGTTGTCGAGTGCCCTCGTTCTTGCACTATATGATTTTCACAAGTGCTTTGAGATTACATGTGATACCTTGGGTGTAGGAATTGGAGGCCTCCTTAGCCAAGAAGGCTACCTGATGGTATTCTTTAGTGAAAAACTCAATGAGGCAAGGCAAAGGTACTCAACATATGATAAGACATTATATGCCATTGTCTGTTCACTTGAGTATTGGAAGTATTATCTCTTACTTGAATAATTTTGTTTTGTATTCAGACCATCAAGCACTTAAATGCTTAAGCTCTCAAAAGCACTTAAATGCCAAACATGTTAAGTAGGTTGAATTTATGCAAGCATTCACTTTTGTTGTAAAATATCGAGCTGGAGTCAAGAACAAGGTAGTTGATGCTTTGAGCAAGAGAGTCCACCTTCTAAATACATTAACTATTAGTATGGTAGGATTTGAGAGACTGAAGTATGATTACGCCTCTTGCCCTGACTTTAAACTCATATATTAAGAAGTTAATGATGGCTATCATTGTGAACATGTAGACTTCTTAGTCCTTGATGGGTAACTATTTTGAGGCTTTAAACTATGTATCCCTCACACTTTGATGCGTGATTTTCTCATATGTGAATTACATACTGGCAAGTTAATTGGACATTTTGGGATCTAAAAAACTATAGCCTTAATAAAGGATAAGTTTTACTAGCCCTCCCTTAAGTGAGTTGTTAGGCTTTTAGCTCAATGTTGCACATGCCTTATTTCTAAGGCGAAAAAAAGAAATACAGTGTGGTATACATCCTTACCAATTCTTGAGGCACCTTGAAAGGATATTATTATGAACTTTGTATTAGCTTTACCAATGATAGTCTGAGGGCACGATTCTTTATAGTCATCATTAATCGATTCTCAAAAAATGGCTCACCTCATAGCATGTAGCAAGACCACCGATGCCTTCTATCTTGCTAAGCTATTTTTTTCGAGAGATTGTTCATCTTCATAAGTTATCCACATATATTATTTTGGATAAGGATGTCAAATTGGTTAGTTATTTTTGGAAAACCTTTTAGAAGCTCTTTGGTACCCAATTAAAATTCTCCTTTGCCTTCCTTCTTCAAACTAGTGGTCAAATTAAAGTCACTAATAGTCATTTCAGTGACCTACTCAAGAGTCCAGTCGATGATAAACCAAAAAATTAAGATTTGGTATTACTAGTCATAGAGTTTGCTTATAATAATTAGGTTAATCAGTCCATTGGCAAGAGTTCATTTCAGACAAGGGTATAACCCCAAATAGCCTATTGACCTCTTACCTATCCTCTTACGACCCGTACATTTAAACTAACCAAAGCTTTTGCCCATTTCCTTCACAACATTGATGCTGAGATTAGGGGTAAGTAAGCAATGAGTAATGACACATATAAATTAACTGCCAATGCACACTACCATTCCCAAGAATTTGATGTTGGAGACTATATTATGACTTGCATACATCTAAATCACTTCCGAAGAAATTCACTCAAAAAGTTACATGTTCATGCTTTTAGCCCTTTTCACATCGCTAAAAAATTAAGGCCCAATGCTTATTTGCTAGATTTTCCTCCAAACATGTCTATCAGTCTAGTATTTAATATTGAGGATCTTGTTCCTTACCAGAGTATTTTTAAGCCACTCCCTTGCTAGTACATAGTCCTATCATGCCTTAATTCCATCATTGCCCATCATTACACCATTTGTTGTCATGGATAAACAGATGATTGTAACTCAAATAGGTCATGTCCAATAATACCTTATTCCTTGAAAGGGTCATTTTGATTTAGACGCCATGTGGATCACTGCAGAGGAGTTTCACACAATTGACTTCACTTTATTTGACCATTACCAACTATTTACCTCTCCGATAGATAATTCTTTCAACTGGGAGAGAAATATGAAAATTATATTTGATTTAATTTGATTTAGGGTTTATTAAGATTTGATTTAGTATCTAGGGATTTTTCTTTAGTATCTTAGATTCATTTTATTTTTAAATATTCTCTCAACTAAAATTAGATATTTAAACTAACTAGATACTTTATCATCATCTTTTAAATTATGATTAGATTTAGATTTAGATTTATTATTATTTTATTATATATAGGGCTCTATAAATAGCCTTAAGGTTCTTCAATTATATTAAGTTTGATATTTAAATAAGAGTTATATAGTTTTCTCTTCCTTCTCCCTCCTCTTTCTTATTTCACATCAATTTGGTACCAAAGCTTAGTTCCACCTCTCTTCCCTATGTTGCTTTTCTAGTTGAGATTTATAAAATAACCTAAACCTTCCCTAAAGCCACAACTCATCATATAGAATATTTGAAGGATAATTTTCAATCCATATATTCATGATTTTATATGGGATATTATCATGAATGCCCATGTAGGGAGTGCTAAAATTAGTATGGCACCCCACTTCGACATGTTGGGTATCCACAATATAACGAAGGCTACCAGAGGAAAATAATTGAAGAACAATGACAATATTTGTATGCATATGACCAATAGTGTGGTTATGAAACACGTCACAGGGTTGAATATGCATGCCAGATTGCTGAGGATGAAAGTTTTGATGCTAAATTCGAAAGGCAAATGACTAAGGTCAAACACCATAATGTTGAATCCGATGTTGAATTGAAACATCAAATTCAAGAAGGTGCATGTTTAACTGAAAAAATAAAGAAGAGTTTCTAAACATTTTTAGAATCACTAAATTAGTAGAAACAAGCAATCAAGCAAGAGAAAGTTAAAACTCCTACCTTAAATTGAAAGGAATCTATAGTAACCCTTATGGAACCTAATCATAAGAGTGATCTATCCATTCCAGCACTTGTATCATTACATGCTATATTAAAGACCCTACTAAAAGCTCCTCTACTTCCTGTGCAAATGGTACCTTCCCAAGTTGTGATCAGCCAGAAACAATCTCACCTTGCTATAGATTCACCTCATCGATAAGCTGTACTTGCCAAGAATGTCCTGGCATTTAATGAGAAGCTTCAACAATATCTTGTCTATTGGAGAGGATTCCCAAAATATTCTTGTAATCAAGTTCATCTTCCACATGATTTACTCCATCGCTACCTCACTTGCTAGAATGGATTTCTAGATTGGTGCACCTAACTTAGATTTTATCCCACCCGTCCATCCCCAACTAAATTGTGCCTCAAGACGAGTTCTTCAAGTAAGGGAGAAATGATGGAATATGGGATAATGGTTAATTATGATAATTAAGATTTATCTAAGATATTAGGATTATCCATTAGGGATATTTAAATATAGATATTTATCTATTAAAATTAGGATTTATTATTTTATTTTATCGTTATCTTAGATATCGTTATTTTTAATATTAGATTTAGATTTAAGATTTGGGAGTTGAATTTAAATTATTATTATTTTATTATTTTCAGAGCTCTATAAATAGAGTTAAATTTTTATTTATATTTAACTTTAAGTATTATTGAATAAGAGTTTTTTGAGAGTTTTGGCATTCTCTCTCCTTTCTCTTTCATATTTCTTGTTTCACATCACCATGTTACTTTCAGATCTTGCTATGCTTCCTCTTTTCACCCTTTTTGCAAATTGTTCCGTCTCAAAAGCCTATTTCCTTAGGCCATGATTGTATCATAGAATTGTAAGAAAGGTAATGAACTCAGACATGAAATTGTCTCATTAACTTGTTTAGTATGCTTGAATTGCTTTTTTAAAGAAATTTGATTTCATCAAAATTGATGGAATTCAATTCCATTACAAAGGTCATGGAATCCACTAACTCAACATGGAATTAACTTATGTGTTCTTAAAAAAAAAGATATTTTGAATTTTAAAAGTACATTCTTTATTTTTTGACTGCTAAGTTTTTCATTAAAAAAAATGAAATAAAGGTATTTGGGCTTTTTATTTTGAATACATATATTTATTAAAATTATATTAAGATTCTATTTTCATACCAAACATACTTTTAAAACTCAATTCAATTTTATTTCCAATTTCGATTCCATAAAAAACTCTTCTATCATATCAAATGGGGCCTAAGTGCTTATTAAAGTTGCTTTAACATTTTGAAAAATGTCCATTTATCATTAAGCATTATTGATTTCATTTAATTTCTTGCTAACCTAAAATATCCCTTTCTTTAATACTCCCTCTGATAAAAAAATATAAGTATCTTCTTTCAACTAATCTTGGTTCAAAATATAAACAATCTAATACATGTAATTTTTTTTTTTCATTTTACCCTTATCATATATTTATTAACCCAAATCGCTATATAAAGTTATCTTTCACTCATCGTGAAGTGCATTAATAATTGAGACTAAAGGATAAAAGGAAAAAATAATTTATAGTTTTATGAAAATAAGGACTTATTGGTATGCAATTTTTTTTAAAAAAAACTGCTTATATTTTAAATAGAAGGGAGTCCATAAAAGGATCATTCTCACTAGACTCCCTTCATATGTCTCCCCCTCCCCCTTCTCACTTTCTTTGCCAAAACAGACCTATATGGGGAGGGACGTTGTAATGTTAACTTTTTTTATTAAGTTTTTGTTATATCCAAACATAAATTATGTTATAATAATTTATTTTTAACTAAATTTAAATTCACAAACTTTAATTTGTTCAAATTCGATTTTAAACAGAAGACAACCATCGATATTTTGAGAACTATACCACAACGGTCGATTTGACCAGTTAAATTAGGAATTAGGAATTGGTTTTGAGTCCAGTCCCATTATGACAGCATTTTTTTCTTTTTTGAAATTTTAATACATACCGGTTGAACCAAACAAATAGTTTTAATTTTTTTAAAATTTTAATTTATATTTCTAAACTACAATTTATACACATCTCTACCTCATAACAACTGGAAAATGAAGAAAACCCGAAAAGTATGTAAAAATGTATGAAATGTTTATATGCATATATTTAAAGTTATAAATTATGAAATAAGTATATATAATTTGGGTGAAAAAGATGAAATATAGTTAGATATTACCTTTTATGTACTATATATTATTTTGGGATGATAAAACTTTTGATCTCTTAAATTTGCTTCAATTATTAATTTAGTCCTTGAAGTTTGATATTTATGAATCAAGTCCTTAATAGTTTGTAATTATATACAACTAATCCTTCTAGCTTAAAAGGAAAAATAACGCCTCAGAAACTAATTGTATAGCATTACAAAACTTTAGGGACTTTATTAATAAAAGCTATACTTCAAGAACCAAATCAACAATCGACACAAAATTAAAATATTAAAAGTCTTATTATTCCTATTATTTTGTTTGAAGTCTAAGCATTCAGTTTCTGGGTTACATACATGTCCTCATATTGATTCCTATATAATTATTTTTTATTTTAAACATATACTACTTAAAATATATTAATTTACTTGTGACTAACTGAAAATTATAAATTAGGATCTCGTTAAATGGCCAATTCCATCGTAGCATTGAGCCAATGAAGCACAGAAGCGAACTTGAGTTTGCCAAAAAAGCACTTCTGGCGTTTTGGGCGTCTAAACTCTCAGCCTAACATGCACCAGAATTATCCAGGGCTTGCTGGGGGGTTTTTTTTCTTTTTTTTATACTCATTATAATTGTTTTTTACAACACAATCATGAATTTGGAACAAAGCTGCAACCATATAATTCCAGTTCCTTGCAATCAAGTAATCAGACACGAAATTCAACAAATTTTACAGCATAATGTCAGCAATGAATTGAACCGAGACTGAACAAAATCTCGTTAAACTTTCACATGCAGGAATAAATGGTTACAACAAATTCTTTAAGGCAGTGGCTTCACGCAGTTGCGCCGGCAAGTGCTTTGGCTGTGTTAGGTAGTACATTCTTCTGGGGCGGCTGCATTGCGCCCAAAAAAAAAAAAAACATTAAAATGAATTACAAATTTGAGCAAAACAAAAACTTTCATAATTAGATCAGATTTTCCCTTTATCGGTCTGAAATCGGGAATAAAACCAACCAAAACACAATGATATCAGCAAGTAGGATTACCGTCTGATTTTCTTGGGTTCAACTATTTATGACCGCTTTCCATCTTCTGTATTAACAGTTTGACAGGATATGTGACAATAGTCAAAATATATCTTGATCTGCAACTAAGAGATAAGTTTACCAAGTGGACTGTCCATGGGAAGTCTAAGGTTGGATAGCCGGTAAAAGTTTACACAACGTGCTAGAGCTGGCTCTGCCAGGACCAGAAAACATTAAGTGTACTAAAAGTTTGAGACAAACTGATGAGGGCTCCCAGAATTTACAGCCACTGTCAGGTCTCGTGAAATAGTGAGCAAGACCAAAATTTTTCAATTTCCTCAGGTTCACAGTTTCTGTAGTATCTCTCTATCATGAGTACAAGTTCAAAAGGAAAATCTATCCCAAAAGATTAGTATGTTAGGAAGAGCCTTTTATATTTATAAAACTCACTCCATTTGTAAGGCTCCTTAATGTGAGACTTATGACTTGACATTTCTAACAACTCTACTTCACAGTACTTCACTCAATCTCCTACATGTCAAAACCTTTTGTGGCTAGCCCTTTTCGTGAAACTATACTCTATGTCATGAGCACAAATCCAAAAGGTGAACTCATCCTAAAAGACTAGCCTTTAGGTGAGAGAGCTTTTCAAACTTAAGAACCCTACTTGTGAGAGTCCCCAATGTGGGACTCATGACACCCTCCTTAATAGATAGTGCAACAAGTTTGAAACTCATTGCTAGAGACACAATATCAGGGTTTTAGCTAGAGATGGGAATCCGGGTGGGTCTAGCCCTTATGGCTCAAGCCCTAAAACTCGGTTACCCTAAATTTGACCTAATTTTGAGCCTCGGCCCTTACTAACAGGACTCAAAGCCAAGCCCGTAAGTCATCTTTTTAGAAAGAAAAATCCAACATTTTAATTCAACAAAGATTTAAAAGTCTAAATTCAACATAAAACAAATCAAAATCTCACATAAAATTTAATAAAGATTTAAAAGTTTAAATGTAAGATGATGATTAAAATCTTCAGCTAGATCCTCCTCATCATAAGATGAAGATTAAGATGAGGGAGAGACGAGGAATGAGAGGCGTGAGGTTGAGTGGTTGACTAGCTATGGCTAAAGGCATGAGGCAGTGAGGGAGAGATGAGCAAAGAGAAGTAAAAGGCAATCACATGGTCCAGCAGGGTTCAGAAAGTTGAGTGATTAGGGTTTAGCAGTAGAATTCTTCTTCAAACCAATTAAACGCCCATTCCATGAAAATTTAAAAAAAATGATAAAATAATCAGGCTTGAAGGACTGCTTGGGCCCAAGCCTCTTTTTATAGAACTTATCAGAGATAGGCCCTTAAGCCCGATTACTTTAAAAAAAAAAAAATCTAATTTTCAAAGTCCGGACTTTTATTTAAACACGGCTGCAAGCCTAGCCCTTATTCTCAACTCTAGTTTTAAAAGGTTCTTACCATAGCCAACTCCTGCTCATGCTTTGGAATAAAAGCCGTATCAACCTTGCCATTTCTAAAATCCTGTATAGCAATAAAGATATCATATATGAGACGCCGTATGACTTCTGTAAATATGCAAATATATTTCAAGGATGATACTATTTTAACAGATGCACCCACCTCAATGTCAAGGATAAGCTTATGGTAATCAATTGTTGTAGGGACCCCTGTAACAAAATACATTAATTGATCAAAAATGGATAGAAGAATTTCGGATTTTTCCCCTAACAATTGAGGCCTGCATATGTAAAAGAACATTGACCGAGGTTCAAAACAAAGGCATGAATAACTCTCCTTTCAGTCTTCCAATGCTTGAGGTTAAGGGAAACAATTGACTTGCACCGGTATATAATGCGATGCAAAATTCACAAATTCACAATCATTGTACTTGAATCATTTTACCTGTGATGATAGTGTCATCTAGTGCCCTCTTCATTCGCTCAATCGCTTTATCCCTTGTTGGAGCCCATACAATTAGCTACAAAATTTCCCGAAGTCAAGGCAGGGATAAATATTTCAAATATAAGTACTTGACTGAAATAAATAAAGGTGCAGTGCACTCAATTTCTCATCAAGGTTCATCACTAGGCAAGGAAGAGAAATGTCGTGTGCTGAGGGAAACTTAAAAATCTAAATTCATAGAGTAGCTCCCCCTCCCCCCTCCAAAAACAAAATCCAAGAAAAATGAAGATGGTTTTTCTTTCACGGTATTCAAAATAAATAGTAAGCATTCGACATCTGAAGGTGCCAGTTGAATGTATCCTCTAGTTCCCTTGAACTTGGATAAAACAAAGCTAATAAGCTATCCAAGTTATGACTAGATTATATTGTATCATGACAAATACTCTCCTCATACATTGCATGTTTCCCAAGGAATCCCCAATCAATGGGGACGCAAACCTTAAACTCTCTGGCAGCAAAAGTACTACTAGTTATCTCACATGAACAACTGTCCAATCACGTAACATCACTCATCCTCAAGAGGAGTGTTTATACCAGCAATATTAATTTTTACGAAATATTGAGATGACGAAGAAAATCTACCCAGATTGACCTGGGTCAGGATTTTGATTTTCAATGAAAAAGCAGCTCCATGCAATTGAAACGAACCATTGCCTTATACATTGGCTGATGTTAAACTCAAGCAAAACATATCATTTGATTAGGTATAAAAGTATACATTATCATTGCTTAAATCCCAAAGCCCTTGCAAGGTTATTGACCAATTGACTATGATCATATCTTTTTCATAAAATATTAACTGGCATTGAATTATTTGATCAACTGAATAGATTGAAGACAAGCATTTTCAGTTAATCTGTTTATATCGTGACAACATAAGCTGTGGATTTAGCACCTCATATACAATCAAATTCATGGGGAAAAAAAAATTAACAAGAAACAGAGCAATGCACCTTTCCGAGCAGGGAGTCATAGCTAGGAGGAACCACATAATCAGGATAAACATGACTATCCATTCTCACAAAAGGACCTCCAGATGGCAAGTATGCTGTTATTCTCCCTGTTGTTCAAGATGTCTCATTAATGAGAAAATAACAAATAAAAAGGTAAAACAACCTAGAGTCTTTTTGGCATCTTAATTACAACTATAACTGAATGAATGAAGCCAATTGACCAAACAGCTTACAAATCAGCATGTGAGTTGGGTTGCTGTGTTTCAATTAAATACCACAGATTTTAGGCTATTTCTTGGAAGCATGTAGTTGCAGAAATTCACATCAATATACCTGGCCCTGGTCTGAATCCCTTGAAAGCGTCTTCAGCGTTTATACGGCATTCAATGGAATGACCTCGAAGTGCAATATCTTCCTGCAGAGAAAATAATTACTATAGGACTAAAAAATCACTGGTAAAATATTACCTTGCAGTACCTGTTTGTATCTAAGTTTTTCTCCCATGGCTACACGAATTTGCTCTTCTATTAAATCAACAGAGGAAATCATTTCTGTCACAGGATGCTCAACCTAATTCCAATGAAGTGCCCCACCATAAAAAAAAAAAAAAAAAAGAAGAAGAAGAAAAAAAGAAAAGAATGAAAAAAGTAATTTTTTATTTGGTTCAAAAAAGAAAAAAGAGCAATGCTTGTTTGGTTCATTTAACTTATTAGCTCAAACCTGGATACGGGTATTCATCTCCATGAAGTAGAAGGAACCCCTTTCATCCAAGAGGAATTCTACCGTTCCCACACCAATGTAACCTATGGATGCAGCTGCTGCGACTGCAGCATCACCCATTGCCTTCCTCAACTCTGGGGTTAATGCAGGAGAAGGTGCTTCTTCCAACAATTTCTGATTTCGCCTCTGCATAGAAGTCGTAAGAAACAGAAACAATACTTCAGCTGGTATTTAAAAGTGATCAGAAAGAAAGAAAAGTAAATAACCAGAAGCCTATGTATAGAGTTTCTTATCATTATATGAAGTCATTGACTCTTCCTCTTTTCTTCCTCTCAAAGAATGTGTTTAACTGAGATTAGTAGGAGAGTCATTTTTTCTTTGATGCTGATGGGTACCCAAGTGGGATAGGGAATCCTATCCCAAAAACTAGCTATTGAGATGAAAAAACCGATCCACTTAAATATCCTATTGAGCATCTCATATTACTCGATGTGGGATTTGATATCCCATGTTACAAGTCTCCATTATTTGGCACCCTATGAAAAGCCAACGTCCTAGGGGCTACACTCCATGGCACTTAACTCTGCCTTCTAACAGTCAAAAGACTTGGAAGGTAGCCCTTTCCAAAAGCACCGACAACCAGGCTTTAATATCAATTGATGAGTACTTAAGGAGGATGATAAACTTTACTCCAAAAACTAGCCGTTGAGGTAAGAGAATCGACCTACTTAAATATCTCATTGAACATTTCATACTACTCAATGTAAGACTTGGAATCTTGTACTACCAAGTCTCCATAAGCCACACTTTTTGATATCCATGTACTTTGAATTATTTTTGTCTTGTTACATCAGCAGCATTAGATATGAGGTGCTAATGGAAGGAAAGTTAGATGGAAATATAATATTAGTTATTTATAAATTAAGAATCCTTGTTATATATAGAAACTAGGATTTTAAATAGAAGATAAAAGTTTACTTTTAGTCATTAAATTTATAGCAAGTTTCAATTTAGTGCTTTAACTTTATTTTCTTTTTAATCCTTTCCTTTAAAAAAAAAAAAATCCCTCTCTATTAACACCATTAATCAAGTCAATGGAAAAAGCTTACTTGTAATTGAATTGACTTATCCCATAATAATTTTAACCCCTCATCAAGTCAAAAAAGCCCAAATTAAAATAAAAAAAAATATTTTCTTTTATAGAAAATACCAAATTTAGATTTTTTTTAACTAAAAATCTTATATTTAAAAGAAATAAGAAGCATTATTTTTTATTTGCTTTTGTCATTATTACACAACAACAACAAGAAGCCTTGTTCCATTAGGTGAGGTCAACTACATGGATTGTACGACACCATTGTGATCTATCATATATCAAGCTTTTAGAAATATTATTAACCAAGGGATCTTAATCAACAACTTCTAAAAGTGTTTTATTTGGCCTTTCTCTAGCCCTCTTAATAGGGTCAAAGTTATCCGTTCCACTCTTCTCATTGGTCTCTCCTACGTGTCCAAACCATCTCAAATGATTTTCTATCATTTTCCCCTTAATAGGTGCTATGCCAATTTTTTCACATATGTGCTTATTTCAGATTTTGTCTTTATGAAGCAATTAAAATTTAAGTTAATATAATTCCATATAAGTAGCAATAACAATAAGCCTTATTGCACTCAGTGAGATCAGTTATATGGATTGCATGATGCTATCATGTTGTATCACCAATCAAACCTTCAGGTATATTGTTAACCAAAAGATCTCATTCAACAACTTCATCAGGTATTCTCTTTGCTCTTCATCTACCTCTCTTCATAGGACTCAAGACTAGATATTCCACTCTCCTTACCAAAATGTCCCATGGCCTTCTTTGTATATGTCCAAACCATGCTAAATTATTTTCTACCATCTTTTCAATAGATCTCATGCTCACTCTTTCTCATATATACTCGATGCAAATACTATCTTTTCTGGTATGCCCACACATCTATCTTAACATCCTCATCTTTGCTACTCCAACTTTAATGTTCTTGTTGTCCCTTTAAAGCTCTCCACATTTACTATCATATAACATAGTTGATCTAATAACAGTTCAATAAAGTATCCCTCTAAGCTTATTGGATAATTTCTAACCACAAATAATTTTCATAGGCTTTCTCCATTTGAACCACCTAGATTGTATTCTATGTGCAACATCTCTATCAATTTTGCCATCATTTTAAACACTTGCTCCCAAAAATCTAGACTAGTTTACATGTGGTATGATCTGATTTCTCAATCTAACCTCCACATTACTACTAATTGGTCTCTCACCAAAATTCCATATAGGCATTTGCAACCAAAAAAAAAAAAAATCATTTATCTTTTCTGTAAAGTAAATTACATGTTAACTTCTAATAATCTAATTCTCAGCTATGAATTCACCAAGGCCCGAAATTACAATAAGTCAGATTTTAGGTTTATTTAATGTAAAATTTTAATGCCAATCAAGATACGCACTTACAGTAAATATTATAGCATATGTAGAGCAAGAACCAGTTTGACAGACCACAAGTTCTAAGGCCAAATTTTTTTTTTTTTTTTGGAGAGTGGGGATAGGGGACTAAGGCTGTAAAAGACCTGGATGCTGCAATCACGCTCTCCAAAGTGAACAACGTTACCATATTTATCCGCAAGAACCTGTTAAGCAATGCAGCGGAGGGTATATGAGATTAACATTTATACAAAAGGGGTAAAAGGAAAAGCGGATACTGAATGTAGAAAAACAAAAATCCAATGTTTATTAATTCAAGCAGATATCTTAACATCTAGCAAAAGAAGAAGAAGAAGAAGTACTACTATGTAAATGCTTCAACAAGAATCAGACATTAAATGAATTTATTTATTAATCTGTTTTTCTGAAATCTGGATGTAGGTCTCAGTCTCAGACCAAAGCATCCAAAACTACTCGGATAACAAACTTGGAATTTGTTAAGTACTAGTTTATAATCAATGACTGTATTGTTGGCCTGTGTTAGCCAAATCTTGACACAGGAGTGTAGAGAAAGCAATCTAGGAGTTTCAATCTGCCATAAGCTCGAATGCAGAAAGGAAGCTGTGATGTGATTCAACAATATTGAAAACAAATGAATGTGAAACTTGGATTCGCATTTTGCATGATGAGGATTTTATTACTTTGGTAATTCAAACGGGGAAATGAGGAATTTTTTCAGTTCTAATTCCAATATGATTTATCTGTTTTAGCTAATCACATGAAATCATGTTACTAATTAGCAGCATTGAGTCAATGTTTCCCTTTCACAACCCTTTGAGAAGACAAGGATATTTGCATTTCATGTAGGTGATTATTACAATGCTCAGCATGCAAAAATTTAAGGGTGGGTTCTCTGAGAAAATTTCAGCTTGAAAATTTGTTCTAGAAACCACATTTTTCATGAATAAAATTCCCTTAAGCATTAACCTACTGCCGGAAACCCAGGCAAAAATCAAATTATTAATCTCTGAAACAAAGATAAAATTACCTGGAACTCAATGTGCCTAGGATTTTGAATGTATTTTTCCAAATAAACACCATCATTGCCAAATGCAGCTGCCGCTTCACTCTTAGCTTGCTGCATATCAATGAAAGTGAACCAATTTTCATCAAAACCATACATGCTTATTTGTGTGGACAGGATGAATTTAACTAATATTTATATAACATACCTAATATCATCTTTGTACAATTAGCATCTGTCACTAAGAGGACCTCTATCTAAAGCCAACTAATGTAAAATAGATTGTTTTCTGCTATGAATTATGACAATTGAATGGAACATAAAGTCACTGTAGATAATCTTGTTATACCTTTGGACCTCAAACAAAGCAATAGGAATTCTTGATCTACAAATTTGTTAAAAATATATACGCTAAAACAATGCACAGTTGTGCACAAGGCACAAACATTTTTCTTGTCTTCTCAAATTGTTTGCTTTTATCTGATAAACCTTATAGCTATTGTATATGCTTATTGTTTGATGAAATATTTCTGCCTATTTTAGGAGGCATGAAAGTAAAGACTTTAAATTACAGATCAATCAAGATATCTTCAGAACTTCACATGGAAAAGATACCTGTAACAACTTCACAAACTCGTCAGGTTCTTTAGCGAGACGCATGCCACGCCCTCCACCACCCGCTGTTGCCTAAGAAGCATAAAATGTTTGACAGCTAACATTAATTGGCATATATTTTAGTCCTCTAATTCATTGCAATGCTGCAGTTGCACTTGAACATGAAAGAAATAAGAATTAAGAAACTTTATGAAGGTCATTCAATCACCATCAATGTTCCCTTAAAATAATTATAATAGTTAGTTGAGTACTCAGTCAAGCATAAAACTTTTCCTCATTTGAAAGATTCTAACGAATAAAGACAACTCTTGGGTGATGAATACAACTACTTCACATCACAGTTACGGATGCAAACCAGAATGTAAATGCTGCTATAGTGTTTTCTCCAATAAAGGATGCTGAAACATGAATGATTCCTCTAGGGTCCTTAAGAACAAATTATCATAGGGTTCAATCCAGAGAGGCCTATATATTACATAAAGGGAAACAGGAAGATATCAACAAAGTTGGTTAGACACAGCAACAAATCCATTTCTTCCTCTTGATTTATATATTACCAGCCAGCCTACTATTAATTCAGTTCAAACCTAATACCCAGTGCCGGGAAAGGGAATAAGAAGAGTTGGAGTTATCAAATTGTGCTCAAGTCATAAATTTCTTAACTAGGGAAACTAACTGAGATCATCCCTCTACTGATGTAATTAAAGAAGCTAGAAAGCTTGTATTGAGGGAGTGGGATGAATATTCAGTTTCACATATAGGGAATGTAATCAAAGTGCAGACGCCTCAGCTAAGTTTCAACTACCACCTCTCCCAATAAAAGATGGGTTTGCTTGAAGGTAGAAAAACAAGAATCAATTCTTTAAGCTAAGTTACATGAATTCTATCAGATTTGTCTCTTTTCCAACAAAGGAATAATTGGGCAGGAAATTCAATTTAGGCCAAGGGGAGGAATTATGCAGCCATAGACAAAGATAATTCAGGTAGTGATAATCCATATTGGCAGCCTCAGCACCTCAAATAGCTTTGAAATTGAGCATGGGACATAATATGAAAGTATATGAATCCTTCAAAGCCACAAAGCATAAGTGAATTGTCAAGGAATTCAGCAAGTTCAAAGTTCAACCCAAAAGTTTAAGCTATCAAGTGAATGTCCATCATTGGATTTTTATTTATTTGTCTTTACTGCTTTGTATAGAAGATTTACCGTAACATTCTGCCATTATTTCTTTTACTATCTTTTAGCCTACAATCATGGGACTCAAACTCAAAAAGCAGGGATTGTTGCTATCAATCCCATATTTGTTCAACAACAACAACAAGAGGGAAAAGCAGACAATTAATAGCTTTACTTGACATGAATAAGATACCCTCCATCCCCACAAAAAATTCTTATTGATCATGATATGAATAACTTAATACTCTCAGTCTTTATCACAAAAAAAGAGAGTCTCGTTTTTCCCATGTACATTTATTCATTCAGCTGTAGAAAAATTATTTATTGATCTATTAATGTACACATACAAATCTTTTAATGAATATATGAATAGTTTTATGATTGTATGCATATAAAAAATTCAAGCATGAGAAAAATGATCTCTGCCACCCATCAAAGCTAGAATTTACTTCAAGAGCTTACAAGACACAGAGGCTTAAAAATAAAAAATAAAAGCATTATGCACCTTGATCATCACTGGGAAACCAATCTCATTTGCCAGCTTAATGGCTTCCTCTGTGCTCTGTTACAGTGCTTCTTTTCATTAATTTGATGCCATGAAAGCAGAACTGACCTCCTTTCAAGTATCTGAAACTTTTAGTGAACCTAAGTAAAAATATAATACCTGCAACAGTCCATCACTTCCTGGAACAGTTGGCACGCCTGCTTTCTTCATTGTGTCTCTGGCAGTCGATTTGTCACCCATAACCCGAATGCTGTCAGGCTGATAATTTTAACCATATATTCAGTTTAACAAGAAAATTAGAATGCAAAATTCAGAACTACGAATCTTCTGCCATGGCTTTATGAATAAATATCAAAACATAAACTAATACATCAAATCCACATAAGATTGAGAAAAACTAGAAAGCAACATTTGAGGAGACAAAAACTAAAAGAAGGCATGAAAATTGGAGTTCAGTTACATAACAAAGTTTCCAATGAAATTCTTCAGAATTAGAAAAGCACAACAAAAGACAGGGGGAGCCAACTATCAAATACAGCTCTAGAGGCACATTTTCTGGATAAGGATTAGCTCCACTGCTATTTCAATTTTCAGCCAACCTTGATAACCATTTGCTCACTTGCCAGAAGACCAATAGCAAACAATATCATACAATATCAATCTGGATATAAATTAAAGTTCAGCTCATATGATATGCTAGCGGCTTAGTATATTAGTCCTCCCAAAGAACCTGTGAAAAAGGATACTTCAGCAGTATACTGGTTTTTTAAATTTTCAAGTTCAACTTCAATCCATGTAGGTTCCAAATATTAAAGCCAAGTTACAAAAACATTAACAGACCTGTCAAACAAGAGGCAAAGCAGCAGACAAGAAGCAGGTGTTTTTCATATTTTGCAGGTTACACACTCTTACTCACATTAGGCCCAATGAAGTTGATCCCATGTTCTCTGCACATTTCAACAAATACTGCATTCTCAGCAAGAAAACCATATCCAGGATGCAACATTGTGCATTTACGGCTGATAGCAGCAGATAGCACATTCGGAATCAATAAGTATCTGCACAGAGACAGAGAAACATACATGTGAAATTTGTCTCCAGAGATTGATCCACATTTTGAAGAAATGAAGACCGATCTTCATCTTTAATACAATACAGTCATCAGTAAGAGGGTACTTATGGATCTCTTTATCAGGATAATTCATTTTTCTAAACAAGTAATAATTTTTTCATAATTGCTAGCAAAGCAAAGTAATAGTACAAGCCAACAACCAAAGCAGGAGGTTCCAAATTGGAACTGAAGCTGAAATATATACATCACTCATCTGCAGCCTTCAAACTTGAACATCATAAATGTTCCGCCTAGTCACAAATATTATATATCACTTTTTTAAATTTTAAACCCAATGAGTTCAATATAAAACTTTATTGTGTGAAGGTATCAACCACTTGTTCCTACATTTTTTTTCTGATAGCCTCATCATTTCTATCAGTATGAATAATAGACTTCATCGTACCAACGCTTTAAATGAAAGCATGACAGAACCTAATGATAAAATGTGTACTACGTTATATTGTTTACCATTACCTTTTGTCCTATAAGTTTACCTAAACTCCTTGGCACCTTTCTTATTTTGTTAACAACCAAAAAAACCTATATGATTGAAGATAAGCTAAATTTCAAAAGATAAATACATAATTTCCAAGAAATAATCCCATCATGATTCCTCTATGGCCTCCCCTTCTTGAAAAATTATCAACCAATTCCCATTCAAGTTAATTGACCTCCTCTTATTTTTTTTTTTTAAATAAAAGTTCAGTCTGTTCAGCATTAATTCCTTATTCATTTTCTTTTACATGAATATGCCAAGGTAGTCAAATGCAAAAGGCACCCTATGGCATTAAAACTCTAAAATGCATCAGGAGGTACTAGAATAGCACATGCCTGAGTAATTCAAGGTGCTAAAGTAAGAAAATTAGAAAACAAATGTCATATAAACAAAAAAAGACAAATGTAACTTAAAATAACATTTAATAAATTAATTCTGAAAAAAATTATATATGAAAAAAAAATACATAAATTTATTAACGATGACAGTCATGAGCCATTGGCAAAGCATCAAAAGATAAAATGCACTGGAGTTCATATACCTTAATAATAATAGTCAGGTGTTATCATGATTATCAATATTAGAGTCTAACCCAAATCCTGCCTCCAATAATTCATGTATATAAAGCTGTTGTTTACTTGTTTCAGTAAATGTATGTTCATATATAGGCTTTAGAGCTGTAAAAGGAAGTTAGTTTCCAGTAAGGTACCTAATGCTTTCTTTCTTTTTCTTGTGAATGTTATCAAAATCCCCAAAAAGCTAACAGCCCAAACAATATTTTAAAGAAAGAATTAGTATTTTGCCCTATTCCCTTAAATATAAAAGGTTGGGCAGAACTTTTCAGGTTTTTATGGTTATTGAACTTAAACTTTTAAGTTGATTACTTCAAATGAGTAAGGTGCATGCCTTTCACAAGGGAAAAGGCACTCGCCTTTTGGCACCTTACTGAAGGTGAGAGATACTAAGGTGAGTGCCCTCGACTACACTAGAATATGCATCATGTGAACTTCATATTTATCAATCTTGCTAACCAAACAGGGTAAGAATATATACATATATTTAGCAATTAGAAATCACGAGGAAGTAATAATATAATCATGATTAAAGGATAGAAGTATGTAACTCACGATTGACTACTTGGTGCTTCACCTATGCAAACCGATTCATCAGCCAATTTCACGTGAAGAGCATCTTTATCTATGGTTGAGTACACAGCCACACAAGGTATGCCCAATTCATGAGCAGTTCTAATTACACGAACCGCAATTTCACCTCTATTTGCCACCAAGATCTTATCAGCTTGGCATGTCACATTGAGAGCCCCGCAATGCCTCCTATGTTTATGACTAACTTGAGCATTTTGAGCCCTTTGCCTTGAAAGATTCAGTTTATTTCCCACTAAAAAGCTTAATTGGGAACTCTTGATTGCTCTAGATTTTGGCATAAACATACCCTTCCATTCAAAGAAGAACACATTATATATGCATATATAATTATATACACATGCATACAAATATATAGGCAAGAAAAGGCTGAACGGAAATGGAAAATATATACAGGCTGTAAATAGTATAAATGCCTTGTCCATTCAGCAAAACCCATGTGTTAGGTTTCTTGAAGTTCTACATTTAGTTGCATCCAAAATACATTTTGCGTGTTGCACCAAGATTGCCTTATATTCACAATTTCATTTTATGATAATGGTATCAAAAACTCTTTAGAAGCGTTAAACTGAGACAAGAACCTCAAGAGAAAAGGTCATAATCTATATCATATCTTACAGTACAGAGCATGATCAGTCCACTTCATCTTTTCCCATCTTTTTAGCCCAAGGGAAAAGGGTGTGGCAAAAGGGCAGGAAATGCCGATTTGAGTTTTATCTGATTTTCCACACATCTTTACATGCTATTCAAACTTCAACCAAAAAAAGGAAAACGTGTAGATGTCATACAACATATAATGCTTCACAACATTTTGCCACCAGAACAAAATGTCAAGCTGAAAATCATTGAGGTACATCCTTTAGAAAATAGCACTGACATGACTCAGAATTACACAGCACCGTATTTGTCTTGCCAATAAAACCCTATCTCTGAATATTGAAAACAATAACGCGATATCAGTCTTAGCCAACAGAGTGGAAAGGATCTATGTTAAAATAAATGATGATAAAATTAAAAAAGTTGCCAGGCATTTTATGGGAATGGCAAGTGTCACTTTGTACCCGCTAAGTTCGCGATATAAATGGGATGACAAAATAATGCAAGACTATGAAATAAACCCGTAGTTGAATGCTAACTGTTTGTGTGAGACTTATTTCTAACAGAAATCAGTGCTGAGAACATAGTAGAGCTTATCTATAAAAGCATTCCGATGGATGAACTTACAACATGAGGTGAGCAAACAGACTTGCAAATTGGTATTGTAGCTTCCATTTTTGAAACAAGATTCCTAAAACAAACAAAGACGCAAGAAATTGCAGATCATTTCATCATAGAGAAATCCTGTGTTGCTATAAGAATTGACTAGGTGATATAATGGGAGTAGGAGAATCACCGCTTAAAGTCTAACAAAAATCCAAAATGTTATAACGATAAAGCAGAGAGCTTGCCAGAGAACAAAATGAGAGTGGATGTTGGTGTCCACTCCCCGGAGCTGATATGGAGGTAGATTTCGATGTAAACGATGGCGGTACCAGGTTGGATGCTCCGCCCAGGTTACTTGAAGGGTGCGGATCCTCTGTAGGTGCACCCTTCTCCTTCACATTTGGGCAACCAGATCCAGATTCAGATGCCATGCGATTAATCCTACGGACCAAATCTCACTATTTCAGCCCCTACGCAGAACCCAACCTGCAATCAGCTGAGTGGGCCTGGCAAGAACTTTTTACTCATGCCTTTAATATCCGTCCCAAATCTTTCGAAAAACTTATATATCTGTGATCTGTCCCAAATTATGCTTTTCACTTTTCAGGTCTTAATACGATGCTAGCTTGTTAGGCCAATTTCAGTAGGATGGAATATCATGGATGAAAATGGAAAGAGAAAGGGAAAGGCCAGAATCCCCTGCTTGGTGACAAGAAAGGGCTTCTTTGAAAGGCCCATTCCTTTAAACTAAGGGAATGAGGCTTCTTGAGGTGCACTGATGGAAAATGGGCCGGTTCCCTAGTTTACCCTTTTGAACCAAATAAACTCTAACTTAGTAGGAAGAAAAATTTAGAGAGAAAACTTTTAAAAATAGTTTAAAAATATATATGTATATTATTTTTTAAAAATTTTTCTTCTAATTTTCTCATCTTCCTATTTTCTTTATATTTTTCCTTTTATCCAAACCAACCCTAAAAGGAGCGTCGAGATGGGTTACGAACATTCACATAGTTGTATGATAGAACAACAACAAAGGGAGCCACGCAAGAGCCAATGGACGTTTATGGAGGAACAACAACAATAACAAACCTTCAGACCAAAAACAAAAAAACAAAAACAAAAATGACAAACCCAACTAGTGGCATTTGTGATAGGGGAGTTTTGGTTGAGGATGATAATAAGCAAAGGATGAATCCAGAAATGAAAGCATAGAGGCAAAATTAAAAATTACTTAAAAGATGGGAGCTAACACTGATTTTTACATTTTTTATAAGAAAAATAAAAAAATTCCTAAAAAATTTTTAAGGACCAATCAAATTGTAGAGGGCCAAGGGCCCCCTCTTGCCCCCTTTAGATACATACCTGATAACGGGAGACAAAGCTTCTACGATCATAAATCCATTAACACACCCAGGGTCCCAAAAAAAAAAGGGACGTCGGAGTTTTGCTTGGTTAACATTTTCTTTTCCTCTAGTCTTGTAGGACAACTTCTACCCATTACTCTACTATTTCCATTTATTCACTTTACACTTCCTTCGAAATTGATGATTGTTGCCAAGGCAACGTTAAAGCTCTTTTAGCCTCTTGGACTACCAACTCCTTCCCTCTCTTGTTAGAATAGATGATACCCTCTCCCTAGTGTTAAGGTTATGTTGACACACACTACTATTTAAAAGGAAAAAACACTTTTTACACTTGGTTAAAAAAAAACTAGTGTAAAAAAAATTAATTGGTATTCTATACTAGTTGTATTACTTGACCGGTGTAGAATATTTTTAATATTTTTTTCTAATTGAAAAGCATAATAATTTATCAAATTAATCTTTTAACATTGTCAACATCAAGTAAGGCGCAGGGCCGGAACCAACATTTAAATTATGGGAGCCATTTTTAAATTAATTTTTATTTTTTTAATCTTTCTTTTAAATGATTTTAAAAATAATTGCATAACTTAAAAAGATCATCAGATTAAAATTTGTGTATAACTATACATAACATTTAAAAAATCTTTCAAAAATGTAGAGTCATCACATATCTATATATTATTTTTTAAAAAATATTATAAGATTTAGATATTTAAAATAACTTTAATTAACATTATATACAAATTAAATAAAAAATGAAAATGTCTTCATACACATGTTCAACTTCCAAAAAATTTAACTGAAAAAAATAGTGTATAATATTAATATTAGCTATTAATTCTATTTTTAGAAATGAAGATTTAATAACCTAAAATCTTTTAATAAACTGGGAAATTATGTATTATACGATGAGCGAGAACTTCCAAACAAATATAAGACTGAACATCAAGACTATTCGTAATATCAGTTAATATCATATGGTTTTACATTACTCCATCTATGGTGAATCTCCCACCCTCACATACACAATTATGTATTCATGTAGCACAATTTCACATACATTATCCATAATCATTACAACACTATCATAGGGCATATTCCATAAATTTAACATATATAAATATACAAAGATATATGTAAATATTATAGTTTCAAAACCATTTTTCCTATTTCACACAGAATTTCAAGACCAATTCATGCTTACACGTATATACATATACATATAACTACATAATTACACATTTTATAAAACCTCATGAATAGTCTAACAATCCAATAAGTAAGGTAGATTATCTAATTACCTGAACCTTTTTGTTACTAAAAAGGATTACCCGTAGAATTCAATACTTCTCAAGCATCCTTAAGCTCAAGTAAGCCTTAAACCCTAAACCCTGAACTATAATCTACATAATTAAGTGCTAATCATTAATTATAGCAAAATAATGCTAATCCTTAATTATTAGCTCTAACATAAGTATTGCCTAGCTTAATTAAGCTGCTTACAACATCTAACTTCTATTGTTGGTTAAACCAACACCTTAATAATATTTCATTAACTTCATTTAGCTCTCATGAAGTTAGATAACACTAATTTAGATCTCAAATTACTCTCAATTTGCAAATTTAAGGCAGGTTCATCCAAACCTAAGAGCACAACTTCAAGACACCATAAACTCACCAACTACAGGTATAGAAACCCAAATTAACTTCTAATGGCTCCATCTAAAAATCAATGGGTTTGCATAGAGGTAGGTGAGAGTTCTAGGAAGTTTACCTAGCTTAAATCTAGCCCAAAACACCTCAAAAATGGCCAAAAGTTGAAGCCCCAACAAATCCAAAACCTGCCTTCGTCATCTCTCATGTTTCCTCTTCTCCTTCCTTTTGTTTTCAAATGCACAATGCTTTTAATTTACTTCAAATATGTGTGTTTGTCATGGCACATCATACTCTCCTTTAATTAAGGATACTGGGTTCTCTTAAAAGAAAAATTCATGAATATTTTTGTCCTTTAATCCTATTATCTATTCCCACTACTTACACATATAATACTATGTCTTATACATATTACAATATGAGTACTTTTTAATAAGGCTTAAAGGGTGAAAACATCTACTAACTTTTTTCATTAGGGTCATCATCTTCCTGTCCATCAATTCATAGCTTCAACCATACCTCCCTAATTTAACATTCATTAGCGAGCAAATATGGTTCAAGTCTTAGAAACCACTCTCATCCTCCCTTCCCTCCCTTTGACATCTAGAACCAAGATTTTGTACTACTATTAAACCCTACAACTCACTCTTCAACTTCTCCATTATCTACTCCTACCTCCTTAACTCCTTGTCATGGCAGACAAAGCCCTCGGATTCATGGCAATGGTTAGTTTACAATGGATCATTGTAATGACCCTAAATTTTAAATTGAATAAAATTCTCTCCCAATAGATATTTTATTTAAATAAGTTTATGGCAAGTAGAAAGGGATAGTTTATAAGAATTTATTCTAGATATTTTCTCAAGGATCCAGGGTTCAAAATTTTTGAGCAGAAGTTTTGTTTTAAAAATTATAGGAAAATGTAGTGTCCTCCTTCGTAATTTAATTATGCCTTTCCTTGTGATTTTTTCGTGCTCTTTTTGGTAATTTTCTGAGTACTTCTTCAATTAGATTTTTATATTTTTCGTGTTTGAAGAACAGAGCATTCTCGTCTCTCCTCTTCACTGACCTTAGACTTCTTTTCTCATCACTGCCGAGCCCTCCCTCCTCACCTCCGGCTTGTTCTTCTCCTCACCATCGGTATGCCTCTTGTTTTACTAGTTCATCTCTTCTGTTCGTCTATTTTCTGTCATGTACTGAGTTGAATATTTGCTTTTTTCTTTGCTGTTCTGTGGTGGAAAAAGCTACGCTCATGTGTGTATGTTTAGACTTTCTTTTCTTTCTCCCTAATAGTTGGAAGTCTGTGTGTGTATGGTAATATGATTTGTGTGTTTGTTGGCTAAAATTTTCTGTCTGCTTCCTTCCTCATTTTTCTCTGTTTCGTGGCTTACAAAGGTGGTGTATGCACGCATGTTCGATCCTTCTTTTTCTTCCTCCTCAATTGCTGGAAGTTGTGTATGTGTGTGTACGGTAGCTCGATTATTTTGTTTGCTGGCTGAATTTTGGTCTTCTTCCTTCTCGTGCGTGTGGAAACTTGAAGCTCTTCTTTGTTCCTTCTTCAGTGTTAAGCACATTTGATTTAAGTTGCTGTCACTATGTTTCGTTGATGAAAGTTACTGTTTTTCTTCTTCCTTTTCCGTTCCTATAGCAGCACGGTATTTTTCTTTTCCCTCCTTATGTTCCTATTCTATGTTGCTACTATCATGCACTTCTAGTAAGAGTTGAGGTGTATGTGTCGGTTAGTGCTGAATATTATCATGCAGTGATGCTAAATCGAATTTTAGGATGGAATTAATAATTTGAAAGCTATTGAATTGTATGGGTGCTTATCTCATAAAGTTGCCAATGATAAATGCATGCTCTCAAGGTATTTATAAAAATGTGTGAAAGAAAAATTTGGTAAATTATGGGTTATTAAAGCTTTCATGTTATAGCTCGGAGAAGTCTCTATAATTTTGGATCAAGTTATTGATTGAAAATTTTAAAATACCAAAGCAAGAGAAAGAAATAAAATATTTCAAATATGGTTGCTGGGTTAGGGACAAATATTGATTTAGAAGAAATTGATAATTTCTAGACAAGATAATAGGTTGATGACTTTTATTGGTAGTATATGAAGTGGAGTTATCATTAAAAAAAGTTATTCATTCTTCTTATTTAGGTAATTAGAGTAACCAAAAGGCAACTAAGAGATGTTTAAAAGGAACAAATTTTCATCTTGCGAGCTTTTCAGGTAAGTGGGTAGCGTCTCAACTGATTTTTCAATAAAGATTTCCTTTACTACAATAGTACATTTTTATGCAAAACTGTTTTAGTAATAACGATGTGGTTATTGAATAGTTTGTTTATTAAACTTCTTT